TTCATGCTCAGGAAAGCTATTTATTTTTTCCTAATTAATAATTCATCCTTTTAAAAATCCCAGTGACCAAGCATTTATGTCAAACTGGCAAAAACAGCAATGAACAAGATTAAAAGGGCTTGTTCCTAGAATAATCAGCCAGCTGCGAGAAGCAGAAAAAACATTTTTTTTTGTTTGAAATTTCCCACTTTCATGATGCCTTGATTAATATACTATCAGTTAAAGAGAATGTTGCATCTCTATGATCTGATTATGTTTTAAAGGGATAAGGGATAAGAGAAAGAAACTACATATTGCAACAAAGACAAATACCAGTTTAAACTTTACTCAAACCAGAGTACAATAGAAACAAATACTCAAGACATTACATATTTAACCTAACAACTTGACCAAACTCTGAGAATCAAAAGATGCATTAAATACACAGCCACAGAACACTTATTTCTCATGAAGAGATGCTGACAAGAGAAACTTTTGGAACCAAGCAGCAGCAAGCCATAGATTCTTCAGATACAGCCAGAAAAAGGAGACAGGGAGCTCTTTTCTTCCTGGTTTAAGCTAAATTGAGCATGTCATTATATACCAACTCATGTGCTTTTTGGTTGTTTTAAACATTTTAAGTGTGTTAAATAATACATGTTTCAATACTTCCAAAACAGATACTTTCTAAAGTAAGTAAACCTTGCTCTAAACTGTTTGGGCGTTGCTAATTAGTTCTTCCCAGTGACCTTCTTACAGGAAGAATGTGTATTTTTTTCAAGAATCAACTTGAGCTTTGTGACAGACACCGGTATTCACTTTAAGGATAGGCTGTGCTGTGATAGTATCAACATGTAGTCCAATACTCATCAAGCCTGGTGTTTCTAATAGAAACAATAAATATTTCAGAGGGCATTTATAATTCATGCCTAAGAGGATGACCATCCTCTGGGATGATAATTGTAAGTATAAATATTGCTTTAATCAACCTGGCAAGATTTTAAGGCCTTGAATTTTTTCAATTAAAGCAAGGCTTAAATAAAAGTATAAATTGTCAATTCTTATTTAACATTATAGCTATGAAAGAAACTGCATCCAAATCCAGGTGATATGACAAGCAGCTATACTTCTGCATTAGCATCCAACTAAAACTTAATGAAAGAACATCACCAAATAAAATTCATTAGCAACTATACTGGGCTTTTAAATATACCTAAATTTGGACTGTGACATGTCTATGCTGAAAGTAAAGCACAGTCAATTGTATGCAGAGATCTGTGTTCGCCTATAACATATTTTAAAATGATGTTTTTTAAAGATTCCACACTTTTCAATAAAGCAGAAGTGATAATACTGAAGTTTTAACTGAACCTAGTTTATTGTCACATTTGATGTATTATCACCTTTTATTTCATTTCTATACCTTCCCATAGCTGAAACCCTCTGGGCTATTTACATCACTACATTAAATAATATCATAAAATACCATAACATCGTATCAAAAGAAATATAAAAACTAAAAACAGCTAGAAACATACAGTGAAGAAGAACCTTGTAAAAAATACCTGGCATGGATAATCCTCTCAAGCCTATGTAGTATAGCTTTAAACACATGAAGGACCATTTAACTGGCATCAAAAAGATGACAAAGTTGGTACCAAGTGGGCTACAGTGGGAAGATGATTCCATAAAATGGGGACCTCCATAGAGAAAGCCCATCCCTTTCTTGCCACCCTCCAAAGCTCCCTCAGAGTTGGTACTCAGATGCAGGCTCAGATGTTAAGCACAGTGTCTGCATACACTGAGCAGGTATAACTCAACCAACCATAACACTTGCTCTGACACAGCAATGCTTTGTGTATAACAGCATATTAATGCAAGACTGCATTTGGATTAGAATCTCATAACAATCTTTTAAGGTCCTGGAGTTAAGAGCCAGTGGACACTACACCTGGCTTGTCCTCCCCTCAAGTTGCTTCTGAGGGCCAAGAGACCCTCTGACAGAATTGTATGGGGCATGGGGGGAGGGCTGCAGCAGAATATGGAAATCAGCAAGACTACCTATTTTCCAATTGCACAAAACCCTTTTTGATCCAAAGCCAAATAAATGGAATTCCTAATAAAGTCTAATGCAGCCTTACCCAACCTGTCACCTTCCAGTGTTGGAGGGGGGCTCAGGAGAGCCAGGTTCTAGTTCCCATTCAGTCACAAAGATCAATGACTTTGGCCCAGATACTGCCTCTCAGCCTAACCTACCTCACAGAGTTGTTATGAGGATAAAATGGAGAGAATTAATTGGCCAGCATGACTGGGAATGATGGGAGTTACAAATCAAAATATCTGGAGGGCAACAGTTTTGGGAAGTCTAATTTAATGAGTAGTCTAATTTAATGAGAGTCAGCATGGTATAGTTGTTAGAAGCTTGGGTATGAGACTCAAATATATAAATACATAATAGTGGGTGTATCCACAGCATGCAAGTATGTAAGTTCTTACCTAACATCCGCTCACCTGAAAAGATGTTCAACAGTGAGTCAACTTTATGCAATACAGGGCTATGACAAAGAAGTTGCTAAGCTCTGACATTTGTTGTTCTAAAAGATGCCTTTGTGTTTACTTTCTAAAACTCAATACCAGCATAAATTGCATCAAGTAGGTTGAATGAACAAAGAAGAGGACATAATAACTGAATTCATTTATTACCAGCAGTAGTGTCTGAAGCACATGTGGTCTGGCTTATATGTTGGTTTGAAATGAAAAGATTACGTGGGTTGACCAGCAATGCAGTTATTTTCTATATTGCCAGCCCTGCCTACAGGATCTCTAGCATCCACACATTAGTGAAGCTTCATGAAACTAGCCAATATAAAAGGACACACTGGATTATTTATTAGAATAGAATTGAGTACCCCCACTGTTCCCACAGGAAATCAGTTTAATTCTGCAACATAACACTTTTCAGTACAGAGTAGTGACAAAGAAATTGTACTGTGATCAAATTCAGGTTTAACCTATATAATCTTAGACAAACTACTCTTTCTCAACTGCAATACAAGGCTAACACTGTCCTATCTTACAGGGCTGTGGCTGCAGGGATTGCTGAGATGATAGTCATGTACTCTTCGGAGAATTCAGTGAGAGCTGCATTAATGCTAAGTTCCTACTTTCATACACATACCACAATCTCAAGATGCAAATGTCACACTGAAAGGAATATACACATTGCTAGTAGTTAGATTAGCCCCTTTCAAAACAACAGACAGTTCTTTGACAAAAGCTATTTATTATCCAATGTATATCCAGTAGAGCACAACCAGCAAAGAAAGTGTCTCTGAGCATGCACAAGGTGGTTTGAACCCAAACTAGAAAAAACCTCCAAGTAACCTTCTTTGGAATAACCCTGGGCCCCACTTTTCTGAGGGGGCCCTTCTGGAGGAATACAAGCCTCTTAGCTGTACAGCACCCCTCTAGTTGGCCCCTGTCCACCCTGCTCCCAGCAGCTACAGACTTCTGCTATAATCAGGGTCCACCTGAACATCTGGAGAGGGCAGCCTTGAGATAAGCCCTTCAGTCTCTTCCATCACAATATCTGCAGGTCTTGTTTCTCAGGGCTCATCCTCCTCATCTGAAGAGCCCCTGTCTCCGAGGCCCTGAGCATTCCAATGTTTCTTTCATTCCCAACACATATGCTTTATTCCAAGCTCTTGTATTTATCAGATGATATAGATATTTTTAAGTCTTCCTTCCACTTCAGTTCTTACTTTGACCACATCAAGCAAAAAAGGTGGTCACACACATTTCCATTCATCCCTTCTATACAAAATGTAATGCAATGCTTATTATTATTGTTGAGCTTAATGGAACTATCATCTTTTGCCAGCATTACTATTGTGTGGTCCAACTGCTGCGAACAAATGTCTCAATCTATCTTTTGCTTTGCCTCATTCCTCCAATTACCCAAAAAAAAACATGTGTTTTCAAATAATCTTTCCTTATTCTTATTGAGGTTTCAAACAGTTGTCCCCTTTACCATGACAAAGTTCGGGACCTCCCAAGGATAGACATTTATAATCTAAAAGACTATTAGAAGGTTACATGTGTTTTATTTTAAACCTCCAAGACAATTCTAATTATACAGTTTTCTGAACTGACATCAATCACATTTACTGGGGTATGTATATAACCCGCTAGCTTCCTGTAAGCGACAACATTCACAAAGATGATGCAGTGGAATAATATGCAAATATTTTGCTGTCCCTCCTTCCTTTCCATTGATACAGCTAACTATGACTACTAGTCATAATGGTTATATACTATATCCAAGATCAGAGGCAACAAGCCTCTGCGTACCAGGCACTGGGGAAAACCAGTGGGAAAGCTCTATTGTCATCATGTCCTTCTTGTGGGCTTCCTAGAGGCACCTGGATAGGCCTTTGGTCCAATCCAGCAGAGCTTTTCTTATGTTCAAAATAGATCTCCTTTTGGTAAAATTCAGAGGCTGCAGTGTTTCTTATATATTCCACATATATGTACACAGTATAAATGCATTTACATGCACAGCTAACAGAAGCAGCATCACTTTAGAGTATTCCAGCTTAAAGCTCATGAAGCATTATTTCAGTTACCAAAAATAAAATTTAAGCTGGCATTTCAGAAATTCTTCTGTAAGCTGTCACACACCCTACCCCTGCATACATTTAAGCTTAGAAGATATGCTTCTTATCCCACCAGCTAAAGATAATTTGTGTAAAGAACAAACATCTGCATGAATCTCAGTGAAGGGTCTCTCTCCTGAGCAGGTTTCCAGGGACACAAGAGGAGGACAAACAAGAAAGAATGTTGCTTTCGTCCATGTGATAGTGGGGACTCAGGAACAACACAGCGAGTAGAGGGGTGGTAGAATGCAAATATATAGCAGAAGTGAGTAAGGCCCCTTAAGACTGGCAATACCACATTAAAATCAAACCAAGCTGAAATGCATTTTCAGACCTATCGTAATTGATTTATCTGAAAAATCTTACCTTTTTCTGGTACCAGACTATAGCATCTGTTACTTTTGACGCCATTTATTCTATGGCATTTATACAGTAGGCATGTTGCGCTGCAAAGGAAAAGAGGTACAACTTTAAAGAAAAGTAAAATAAACATACACATACCTATCAGACTAAGTTAAGGTTGGGTGGCCAGTTAATTGATCACTCCATTTTTCTCAAGTGAAGCCCAATTATAATTACCAACTTCAAATCTTGTCAAACATTCCATGAAGTCATAATTATTGTTGCATGAAGAACAACAGCCTGCTGTTTTGTAACATCAGAGAAGTAGACCAGATACTTTGCTGCCCAATGCTGCAGGAAGTCTTTCTCTGTCATGTACATTACAGACTTAAGAAGTAGGCTTCACCTCTGGCTGCTTCTAAAGGACTGCTGCCCTTTCCTTTCCCACTTAGTCTACATGGCCTAGCTTTTCCTACTTGCAATGAAACATACATGTGCTACTGAAGGCTTTGTACTGTAAATATAAACACCAGAGTACTTCATATAGCTCCGTCTGTTAACAGGATCAACCATGGAATGGCTAGTGCCACTCTGCACAGTGCAATCGGCAATACTGCATGCAAGACTATATGTGTGTGTACTTTCACATTTGTACCACAAAAAGCATTTTTTGGTAGAAAGGCAGTGTACAAACCAAATAAATAAGAAAGATGAGCCTCCATGTTACCTGGCATAGCATTCCATAAAGGAGTAGTTTTATTTTGTCAATTACTATAATTTCTTTGGGTTGTATTCATGCCACAATAATGCAGTGCTTTAAAACTTGGTTACATGTTTCTGAGCCGGCAAATGCCAACCTAGTTAGTTACATACAGAGAAATTTATACTGTATTGTTCCTTATTATAAGGGATGCACCTAATCAAGAGCCACTGAAGGTTAAAGACAGCAAGCACTAATCCTCTACAACATAAATTCTTCATTACATGGTTATTCTATACTTGTTACAATATGATGTCAAATTTAAACACAGAACATGTATATTTGTCCCAGGAATAGTATTTTCCACATTTGTCAGAACAAATCTCAACAAATTCAATAGGAAGATACAAACCAAAGTTCATATAAGATAGCATATACAGGTTCGTCTTCTACACCTTTATTTGCTGCCTAATTAGAGCAATACCCAACCTACTCAGCTTGTTGCTGGCAGCTCCCCTGCTACTTCAGCAATCATGTCCTGTATCTCTGACTTCAATGCTAGCTTTCCCTCCCTCTATCTCATTGTAAGAGCAGTACTCCAAGCAGGGCAATAAGCTGCTGCGTTGGAAAAACAGGATGCAAAATGTTGACAGCCAAAAGAAAATAAGTTCTCCAAGACTTCTAAAAGACCTTTTTACTTACTGAATGCTTTCAAAAAGCCAGATTCAAAGATACTATAACTGAGGTGACAGAATTAGCTGCACGTTATCAGCTGGCCACCCCAAACACAGTTGACTAAGGGGAAAGGAACACAAAGTAAGCCAGAATCAGAAGCAAAGAAGCAACCAGAAGCAGCACCCATTTTATCCCCCTAGAACATCAGCATAAAGATCTGAAAATTACAGAAACTGCCATAATTAAAAGTGAAAGCATGCCAACCCAAGAAATTAGATAGGGTTAGGGAGGAAAAACATACCTTGCATCTCCCAGATTTCTACTTGTTAAGGTGTTCATCTACATCATGGAGCTCTGACAGCAATATACAAATATCTAGACCAGGGGTCTCAAACTTGTGGCCCGTGGGCCAATTGCTGGGACAGGTGGGGCACGGAGGAGGGGCCCTGCGGCCTTCAAAGCGCCGGTGGCGCCCGGGCTGGCCTCCGGAAGCGACACGGAATGAGCAGCCCACCACCACCATTTGATGAGGCCCAGCCTCACCCAGACTCTACTTCCAGCGGTAAGTTGAGTTTGAGACCCCTGATCCAGATGACATACAGTTGGCCCTTCAAGCAGGGCTCCTCTGGTTCATTTATAATTTTCTTACATTCTTATTCCCTGTCCTCCCTTTCATTCACCAGTGCCTCCCCTTTGCACCAAGGAAATGCCAGGGAGATTTCCCTCTCTAGATGAGCAGGGCAAGAAGGCATGCATGAAGAGGCCCTCCTTCTCCCCACTTTCACTCCCGCCCCCTGTGGTGGTGATGATTTTCTGCAGTAGGCTGCAAAATTAAAGGGAAAAAAATCCCATGTATGGCAAATGAATGAATAATCAAATTTGCAAAAGTTAAACCCACAAAAGTCAAGGTTCAACTGTATTGTAATCCAAGGAATTTATTAAAGTGAAAATTCAAATATTTAAATTTACATCTAAATTCTATGTTAATATCATATGAAAGGTACAAGGACAGGTCATTATCATTTGAACTGAAATGAACTTCCATTATGTAGAACTGCAGACTCTTCTATAGCTTCTGTAATAGGTAACTCTTACTTGCGTTGAGCTATAATTCCATGGTAACATGTATGTGACAATACTCTCAGCCTTCTTCTCTTGAAGATATAAGAAGCGGAGTGTGAAAGAGAATGAGGATAGGCTAGACTTCCTCAAACAAGGATCTGCACATATAATATTTTTCAGACTTTTCTTCTGATTTTATCTGCTCTAGAAAAAGCCACATTACTAGTTAGGAGCATTGCCCTAGGTTGGCCATATTGAATTGTTTTCAGATGATATGGACCAAGGATAGATACAAAGTGTTTGGAGAGACCTGGCTGACAATCTCAAACCTCAGTCTTTGTGCAACTTGGATAGCTAATTCCACTCCTATCTATAGGATAGCTATTAGCCATCCCTATAGACCCTATGGGCATTGGGTATATGTGCTCTAGGTGGTAATTAACATCTCTTTATGAGAAATTTTTATTTCAATCACCTTGGAAGATATGGTTGTGTGGCCACTTAAGAAGCTCTTTTTGGACACAGATGGTCTTGCTAAATACCATTCAGGGCTAATGAGCCTTTCTGGGTAAGATCTTGAAGGTTCTCATGACTCAACTCCAACTGCTTCAAACTTGAACAGATCATCCTGACCAATCTCAACGTGCATTTCAGGCCAGGTTTTGATACTTAAACAGCCTTGTCTGACTTGATGGATGAGCTCTGTCAGGAGTAAGACTGCTCTGTTGATTCTCCTTGATTTCTCAGTGGCTTTTTATACCTTCTGTGGTACACTGCTGGACCAGCTCTGTGTACTGGGACTAGAAGTCACATTGAAATGATAATTCCACTCCTGTCTATAGGATCAGCTTGAGGAGAGAGCTTCGTACCGTGACAGCTGTGCTTAAGGATCTCATAAGGAGCCATCTTATTCCTAATGCTTTTTAACATCAATATAAAGCAAACAAGTAAGTTCATCAGGGGAATTCGAGTGAAGTGTCTTCAATATGCTGACAATACCCACAAGACAATACCCACAAGAGAAAATCACATTTACAAGGAGCTACCGAAATTCCATTTATAATTGCAATGATTGTTCTGACATGAGGAAGTAGCTTATGATATTTTGAACATGTGAAAATAGTACTGCTGTGCACAACATGATCCCACACCCCACATTACACAGAAATCTCAAACACACTTATTAAATAGCCTTCAGTTCAACTCATTTTTGTGCCATCATCAGTCAAATGAAATTGTGGAGATTGTATAGGCAGTGGTATATTGGAAGGGAGGGGAAGAATCCTCATCAGACCCACACAAAGCAAGCTCACCATTTTGAAACCCAGCATTCCAAAATTCCAACAGACCCTAAATAACCCCTTTAAAATGCCCTACACAAAAATGCCACTATGCATATAGCAGTTTAATGGTAGTTGTAACTATTGAAAACTACTATATACATAACATTATTTTGATGCTAGTTATTATCACAACATTGCATCTGTTTTGTTTATCGGCTGGCAGCAGTAGCGAGGTTACTGAAGAGTGCTGGTGATTTACTTTTTTTCCTCCTGTGTATATTGCTGGATGTCAGAAAAGCTCCTGCTTCCTTGTATTCTGCTCCTTTTCCAGCTCAGTTCCTCAGCTTCATCATACTTCAAGTACAGTTTGGCTTATAATAGTCTCTACACTCTTAAGAAGAGTTGCTTAGACCATCACCACCTTGTTTTCTTCTTTCCAGCAGCCACTGAAGAGAATGCAGAGACTTGGCAACAACAATTGAGATGATCTGAGTAGTGGCAGAACAGTGTGTAGGGAACAGGCAAGAACAAATGAGTGATAACGGGATCATTCTTTTTCACAGACATGCCAAGGTTTCTATCTCTCCTTCCTAGAAATCTTTCCAGTGCCTAGCCTAACTTTAAAAAAAGATCTGAATCCTTGAACATATGTTGAGATCCTGTAACATTCAGCGCTGAAAGGAAGACTGCTATTGCTTGGTACTATTTCTTGATAGCAGAATACTTACACAAAATAGCAATTGCAGAAATTTGAACAATTTCTTCTAGTTATGAAATGCAATGTTTCTTCATGAATAATTTACATTTTAAAAAACCAAGTAAACACAGAAAACTGTTTAAATAAACATCTTAAATTTTTGATGTTGGGCAGTATTCTAATCCATGACTCAAACTAAGACGTTAACCATCTGCCTACATAGCTTTTAATGGAATTTATATCAAAAGCTGATTCCTCAAAAACTTCAGATTACCTATTTGAAGAATGAAAATAAATGGTTCCAACACACTCCAATGTTTACCTAGTCTTTAACAATTAAATTAGTGTTGCTTCTGTTGTTTTAAATATCTTTACGATCTACTGTAGTCTGTGTTTATATTGTGCTACAGGGTAAACTATTCTGCATGCCAATATAATGCATACCTTCTAGAGGTGATACGCATGTTGGGCACACATTTTATTTTCTGCAAGCTAAATATACTAAAGTGTTTCTAAAAAAACAGAAAACCATACACACTAGAATTTTATGCATGTGCACTAGATTCACTACTACTTTAACCTCTAGTTACGTATCTATAGGATTACAGTCCAAGTTATATATGTTAATATTTGAAAGGAAATGGAAAATACATATTAATTCTACTTTTTCAGAAAGCTGACATTGAT